GTTTGCGTTAATATTTAATGATAATATCCTTATTTACATTTAAATCCGATTTACTGAGTTGATCATAAGCGATTTATCCAATGCACTTTTTCCTTTTTAAAGGAATTACTTTACAAAATTTGCACGATTTCGATCTAAAATACTAGTTACTAGAGTTTTGGTGGCAAGTAAAACAGCTCTGAAAGGTTAAGTACCGATAATTTTTGCTTCACACAAGCCTCAACCAGATTGAATTGCAGCCAACTATCGAACAAGACATTCGACCTAACTGTTTGAAATCTTTTAGACGCTTTGAAAGTTTTGCGCGAAACCTAGACGATTACAATGAAAATTTTGCACTATGTTATTTATATTAGTGCTTCTTATGAACCATCACCGTGCTTTAGAATGAGTAGGTAAATATTGAAGTCTTAGGGATTCACCTGTGACTTAAAGAATAGTATGCTTACCTACGGACATTAATGTAGATCAGAAAAAGTGGAATAGAGCTTTGATTGTAGGAAGAAACTTACGATTTTTCTTGAACTGCGACCAAAAGACTAAGTGGAAATCCAGATACACTTTGATGTATAACCTAACACACCAAAATTCCTAATTTGTTCCTTCGTTGTACATTTGATCATAGGTCTTTCTGAGCTGGTTTGATTAACCCCATCTCTGTAGATACTAGACTAACTTCTCCATTTCAAGAAATAATGTTATAACTAAATGAAATTCCCTATTGGGGAATGAGTAATGTGAGAAACCAAGCATGGTAAACTATATGCTTTGACGGAGTAAACAAAGAGTGCATAATAACTATGCAGCAGTGTGTCTTGATTTTTACTTTCGAGATGGAAAAAGGAAGTTCCCAGTGAATGTCTCTAACATTATCTTACCGAATTCATTCCATGTTTGTGAAGTGTTATTTCTCTGAAGTAAATACCTAAAACCCAGAGATAGGAACATTTTATCATAGCTTTTTTGAATATAATGTTAATTTTTGTGCTAAAATGTCAGTTAAAGTTTATCCTTCCGTTTGCCTCTCCTGCATTCCAGAGCAATTTATAGAAAGACTATTTAATTTCATTTGACATTAATGTACTTGCTCGTAAGAAATCATAGAACCTAGTGAGCACTAAGCTCACTGCATCGCTCTCCGTGGTTGCAACAAAGCTCAAATTGCTATGGCGCATATGGATTAGTTTAAAAAGTAAAATTTAGTGTGTGGAGTACTCAGGAGGAGTGACTGGGCATTTACCCAATCCCAGGCATGTATGATCCCTTTGCTAATGCTTAACTGCTTGAATCAAAATGATTGGAAGGACCATTTTGAAGAAAATGCCACATGCATTCTTCATAAAACTTATGATTATTAGTGCCTGTTTGGTTAGCTTTTATATAAAGCAAATGAAAATTGCAATTGCCCGAAATGAAAAGAGATCCTGTTAATGATGCTACACTCCGCTTTTTCATTTGGGTATGAAATCAAGCCATATGGAATAAAATAAAGCAAATGACATACAGTCATCCTGTATGAAAAATACGCGAATCGCCATAACGGTTGTAAGAAAGAGGATAATTCCGAAGACCATATGTTTCCTGAGCCATTGGAGCTACCGCAAAAGTGAGATGAGTGCACTCAGCAGATTACCTTTCCCCTTATATGAAAAATGCCTAAACAAATGAGAGACAACTGTTGATCATTTGGCATTTGATAAACTGATAAGATATTGACAACTGACAATGGCGATGGCTCTTTTATGAAGATGTGCTAAGCAAGTGATCCTTTATTTCACTCAATAATTGAAGGGTTTGTGGATTAAATCGGTTTTAAAGAAATGTCTTTAGAATGATTAGACAGAACAGAAATTAGATTAGATAGATTAGAAATAGCTAGGTGATATGACTACATGAAATTATTAAAAGATAAACCATCCTAACATCTACAGGTAACAATGTTTAATCGTCTGAGTTGAGATTTGACAACGAGCTTTGGGGGTTAAACAATTGGGTACCATTGACCCAGTTGAAATGGTGGAATTTCTACCCGAGATCAATAATGCTTGCTCGCCCCCACATTTTTTTGGATTTTACTCCTTTTCCTGCCTATGAGGAAAGCGCGTGTGTACTTTCCGGGTAGGTAGGTGCGTTTTCTACTTTGCATTTGTGGATTAATAGTATAAATTGTATGAAAGTATTCAAATTTACTTACCAAATCTCAGCATTTGTGAGTCTTTCTTGTATAATGGGTCTTTGCTAAACGGTAACAAAGGAAATATTAACGACCCAAATGAATAAAAATCATCCGTCTGCAAATGACAAAAAAATCCTATTTATTAGGGGTCAAGCACAATCGTTTAAAGTAATTATTTCTCTCCGAGAACCCATTAGTACTATGGAAGGGAATGAATTTGCACCGAAACTAACTTTTAGGTTCGTTTCGGAGGGTCTCGCTACTTACTTTGAAGAATGCCAATGAAGACAACTCACCGTGGTGTGAACCATCTGACCCTTTAGATTGTTAGAGCAAACGGCTGATGTGTCTGTCACACCTTTGTACACACACACACACTTACACCATTGGTACCGATTGTGAGATCACACACCAATTCTCTAGCTGCTTCTATGGGATTACGACTTCTTATAACTCCTTTGTTCCCCTTAGAATAAAGGCCAGTGTCATACGAGATGTACCATTAACCTTTGGGCTAAAATTCTTAATATTAATGTTTGCTACTCCCTCTTTGTGCTATTAACGAAGATAGAATGCCAAATTTAACTAGAAACAATTTTAAAAATTAACACAGTTTTATCAAGTGGTCTGGATCTGGAGGAGGGCGCTTCCATTTTGCAAGATCTTATTTTTATCACAGTGCGTATGTAGACACAAGCACTTGCGGCGATTGTCATTTTGTGTAATTATGCTCCTCGTTTTGATAAGTATACTTTGTGAATTATTTGCATATGAGAACACTGAACGCTGATCTTTTCTAACCGAAAATGTAAATGCTATGGCATAATTAGACGATCACCTCCAATTAAAGTGAGTAATAAACAATGGGTTTTATTGAGTTATGACGTCTTTAACAGAAATAAATTAGGAATTGGCAGCTAATTCAATACCATACTCCGGTGACGTAAAACAAGGAGCTCAAATTGCACATATATTAAACTTTACAAGTTCCCCTTAGGTGCCCTTTTTTAAAATGTACTTATGCGCCATGTTTTACATGGTTTGTGAACAACACATATGCTCATCTCTGACCCCATAAAATGATGCAAATATCAGCTAAGCATCTAATGACGTAAAGTCATAATTAGATATCATCTAAGCATTATTATACTTTCTGTTAGCTCATAAAAAGAATAAATGATTTACCGATTGTGTAACTGAAGCATTGGTTGAAATAAATCACAATAAGCATGTAATGTCAGACTTCTCGGTGTAATTAACAGATAACGACATCACCTACAAGGCTTTCGCATTCCTCCGTAATAGGCAGTAAGTGGATTTCAGATTCATCTCTTCTACAGCACACATTAATGTTTTGTACTCTTGTAATTCTGCATTATATAGATTCTTGGGTTGAACTTGTTCCACCAGTAGGCGGTTGCCTTGTGGTAAAGATGACCAATTAACGTGAAGATGATCACCCACGGGTTGAGCACGTGGATGATGTAGAGAGCACGTGTACAAGTTATTCAAAGGCGGTTTTTCTAGTAATCCATATTCCCAGATTATTAGCATGTTTTTATACTTGAATGGAATTATTCAAGGCAATCAGGTGCACATATCAACAGCATTACTTAAAATAGCTGCTCTCAGCAATGGAAGAGCAATGATTGCTGCCAGCGACGTAATTAGGCTTGCAATTTGTTGTTATTATTCAAAGGGAAAACCCAAAGAATCTCAGGCATTTATTGTAGTAGATAATGTCTTTGTTTTTACTTGGATCTGATCTATCACAAAAATTAAGAATTTGCTCCTTATGCCTCCGATTCAAATAAACCATTCCGGTCTTTATGGTAAGGTAAAGATTCATGAAGTAAAAAGTGCAAGGGAACTCACTCATACACAGAGTAAACACCCTCCACAAATGCAGGTTTCAGGTTTTTTGCGCGTAATCTCCCTGTAGCGTCACGTTTGCACCTGTTCTGCGCAAATAACTGTGCTCCAATAGACTGTTGCAAGAACTCCGTATTGAAATATGAGGTGCTAGAACCACAATCACGCTCTCCATTAATTATGCAATGTCCGGTGCCCTTCCCTATTGCCATTTCACTAAACCGCGTTTTTAACTTTTTACTTGGAGAGCACATGCGAATCGTTGTTTGCAGTTTCTGCCAGAGCAGAAGGAATTGTACTTATTAAATTTAATTATGTTAGATCAATGACCTTAGCCCTGTTTCACCTTATCAACAAAACTACTGTGCGTGCAGTTGGGTCAGTTATTTTCACACCAGCGAATATGTTACAACACATTCACGCAACTCAGTACGTGTTTCTTAACGTTCACCTCAAGTCATTCGTAAAGAATAAAAGGTATAAAGGGTAGATGAAAAGAGGAGGATAAGATTTTGAGCAAATAAAATTCAAAAATGCTGCACCAATCTCACACAAATGCTTTTCATAGAAGTGTTTGACTGCACTTCACTTAGGATCAGTTAGGAGGTGGGAAAACAGCCAAAATTTACTTAATAGTGCGCCTTAATTCTCATCAAAGAACTTTTGAATAACAGCAATTTACCAATTAAGCACGTGAAAAACGTGGGCTGATCTATTATCTATTCAAAAAAAGGATAATTGCTCTATAGGAAAGATCTTCATAAATAAGGAGAAAGTGCAAAATATCCAGTAAAATGGTAAAGTATATACTAAATGACGAAATTTAATGTACGTAAGTTACAAACAATAGGGCTTTTGGTCCTCAGTATATTATTGGGAAGGATAATTTTTCAGCAGAAAAACTCAGATTAGATGAAATACGTCTAAAGATTAGAGCAATTCAGCTTAAAATCTCGATCTTATTGAAAAAAATTGAGATTTAATAGTGCTAAAATTCCACTCACCACACCAATCAGCACGTCGTCATACCTTCCACATAGGGCCTGATAATTTGACCACTAAGGCCAGAGACCACGTCTAAGGCAGAATAATCGATATTCTAATCAATAATCGATGAGTTGTGCATTGATTTACCTAGCATAACTCATTGAGAAGGGCCTCCATCTTAGCGTTGTTCTTGCAGGCAGGCCTGATTAATTGCCCAGGCGAGAGCCGGGTATTTGTTGGATTGTTTGTTGATTAATCTTTTTTATCTATTTTAGAATCAACTTTTCCTCTTTTTTAAGGAAAAAAAGGGGGGAGAATCAAATGCAAAATAATTAAAGCCTAGTAATAGTGACAACGCAAAACGCCAACATTAGAATAAGCATGGGTATAACGTTTGTAATATTTTAGTTGGCATACCTTTTTTGTCAAGTATGCAAGTGATATGAAATAAGCAATAGAGTAATTTAATACAATTTAACTATTATAGATTGCTTTAAAAAGTGTTTTGGACTGAAGGGCCCTTCAAAGAATTTCGTGCATTAAGTCGGTTTTACCATTTTTCATATTTCCTCATTGGTACAAATTTCTCGTGTTGCTTCCTACATCGATTAGAGGACTCCCTTTACGGCTACACCACAAACCATGAAAACTGCGTCCCCTCTCTTCTCCGTTTTTAAAAAAATGTGAAGAAAGAAAAGCTGTAGGCCATAATTATTAAACAGCGCTATAAAGCAAGGGCTAACAAAAACCATTTTTGCATCGTGCAAATCGAGCATTATCTCAGAGGCGGTGCTCCTCCTACGAGATTCCTGACCCTAAAAGTAAATTAGAAAGAATGCTAGTAAATCATTATTAAAAATACTCAACTCTCCCTTAATATTCACCCTATTTTATTAGTTCATTTGGTGTGGAATACTTTGTTTAGTTGTTTAACTCTTCGCTTTGATTGTGCGGGCTCTGTCAAAGCACCTCTGCCGGGTGGTCTGGTCTCCGGGCTATGCCAGTAGCCCCTTAAGGCCTCCTCTGTGTCAGTAATGCATATTCTACCTCAGTATTATGTCTTCCTTCGATTTCAGGGAAAAATCTAGAGAGCTACAGGTATCTATGTTTTTTTTTACTGAATAAAGCGGTAATGGAGGGTCATTTTTAACAGTCGACAGTTGGTGACAGACACGTAAGCGAGAAGGTACACTTGTTTGTCATTCCACTCAGGGAAATATCAAATTCTAACAAGATGTTTCAGTGGTTTCGCTCAGTGAGAATTCTCTGTTTCTCGTGACAAGAATGGGATAAAACGTGGAGTTTCCAAAGGACAGGTACTCTCCGCAGCTATTGGTGCAAGCCTTTCTTTTGTTGGTTTTTGCTAAGTCATACAATAGGTGGCACCAAAAAAAAGACAAATTTGATTTTTCTGGAATTATGCAATCTTGCCAACTTAGCAAGAAGTATGTTTCCATCCAAATCATCTCTGTTAGTTGACATATGGTGTGAAGAAGTGATTAGCAAGCTCAATCTCAGCGGTGTCGAACAGTTTGAATGGGATCCAGTGAATCGGGGTGATGAACGATCGTGGTGAAGGTCTAACGCTCGTCTAAGAGGGTCATGTAGCCTCAAAGTTGGAACTGCGGGAGCGGATAAGCTACATCATGCGTGACTTGAACAGTGTGACAGTAGTCACGTTGCTAGGCTTGGTGCCAAGCGCTTCGGACATCCCACCAGCGAGGAATGGATACGTCAACACAAAGAACTCTTGTGATTTTACACTGCTGCAAGCTTTATGAAATGTCTGGATCATTTATATTATTCTCATTGCCACCTAAAACGCCTTTCTCAACGGGAAACAAGCTCCCAAATTCTACTTTAATAGGTTTCATCTCTCGAAGCAAGTAGCGCGGCTTTTGCCACCTCCCATTCGATCTCACTTAGTTTAAAATCGTCTGTTCTTTTTCACTAATGCTAACTTTCTGATGCGGTGAAAATCATCATCAGAGGAATGGAGAAGAGCGATGATGAGGAAAAGCCACTATCTTTTCCTGCCCCTTCCTCCCTCCCTCCCTCCTGTGGCAATGAGGTGAGGACTAGGACTTTCTGCCCCTTGATTGACAAGTTCTGCTTATTCTTCCACACCTTCAAGTTTCATCAAGTCGAATGGATAGGCTCTGGATAAAATATTTTGTCGCTATGATGCCACTCTCAAACCAGGCAGAGGCATAGGAGACGATGTGTCGTGTAAATGCAGGGTGGGACACCAAAGCACAAAGCCTGCCACTGCTAATCACGAGTCAGTCGGTGCGTAGTCATTCGGCCAACCAGGCAGCAAGAAGTTTAAAAGGCACGAACTGCCGCTCCCACAGGGTAAAGTGAAGTGAAGAAGAGGAGGTTAATGGTGCTGGAAGTAGTGATTTACAGCCACTTCTCTTCTTGAGTGTGTGTATGTGTGTGTATTTGAATGTTTTTTTTTAACGTGTGAACAACCTACGTCATCATCCCTTCACACATTAGTCTGGAAGTTTCTTAAAGTGCCTGTTCCAATTCTGTGTAAAAAAGGTGGTAGTTTTATCAACAGAATCGACTACTTTGCGATAGTACCTTCTGCTGCGCGCCTCCCCTACAACAAGCTTTACAGGAGGCATCTCTAGGTCTTGAAACCGAGTAAACTTGGCCGGTAGAGCAGATAAATCCACTATGCTAGACAGGTCAAAGGAAGCGGAAGTTAGCGGGGAGTACGATCAAGCGACTTACTGACAAGTTGGCTGATATCTATGACTTCTAATGCAAAAAAACCACAACTGCAGACAACTTTTGAAAGAGCGAGTCAACGAGTTACAAAACTCATTGAGTAAGATTGTGCCTGTAAAATATCGCCTTAATCATCCTCTTAAGTGTTATCAGTTTGAGTGCCGTTTGATTCAAATGATCACTTCCACTTTTGCACAAAACAGTCGTTTATTTCTACTGGGAGAACTTTAATTTGGCAATTTTCTGACGTTTATGCCATTTCTTTTACCTTTAGATTACGTATATATGCGCAAATCTCCTCTTTGTTTTTAACCATTTCCTCTTTCTCTATGGGAATGATTCTTATGCTACTTCATAAGCGTATGTAAGCAGGGTGTTAACTTACCTTCTAGTTTGCATTTTAAAGCACGCTTCAGTTACAATTGATGCATGCAACACAACTTTTTGACTTGAAAAGGCTGGACTGCATAGCCTATTAGTCAACTGGTTGGATGGGGTCACTTTCTGTCCCTCCCAAGTTGTACCACCTTCACTGCGGCGTGACCTTCATGCCATGCCTATCTGGGACCTCCCGGACCGTCCCTACACCAGCAATGTAGTGCTGGTCCATCGTTAACTTCAAATAGGGATTTGGAACTCCACGGTTTACCCCTGGTTCGGTAAACTTTACGCTAAAACATCACTAACCTAGCCTGAAAAGGCGATCTTAATTCATTTCATACATCGGACACAAGTATTTCCCCATAGCAGTCTTAAATATGTTTAGCTGAACAATTGACCACGTGCCCTCTTGAGCTATTGGGGTTTGTTATTTCGTTTTCTCAGACTGTGACTCAAACAGACCTTTTGTAGGACAATAACAAGTCACCAGACTGCACATGACTTTGCTTAGTCTAACTGACGCCACTCCTCGCATAAAAACGATGTATCATCATTCCCGGTGGAGATAATCTGTTCCACAGCTCATCATGATAACGACTGATCACTAAAAGATTGGGATTCGCGAAATGTGGATCGTTTATCCTAGTCAGAGCATCATGACTACGCAACCTGATCGGCATTTCGTATTTTTTCTTCAGTAATAGCAACCGGTGATGCTCTTAGAATATATTAAGCGTAAATAAAGACACCAACCGTATTTTTCTTCATCCGCCTCCGTGTCAACGATTCGGGGCTTTCGAATTCCTTCTGCTTCCGTGTACACTTAAATGGATTATGGTGGTTTCAGTTATACATATAAAACATTATAAATGACACTGAATGCAAGGAGAGAAAAATATTTAAGCAGAATATTTTATGTTTGCAAAAGAAGTGTGCAACTCTGGGACTGAAAATAATCGGATTAGTGAGAAAAGTAGATAAATTCTCGTCTATGTTTTCTGCTGAAAGTTAAGGAAGGAAACCTTAGGTTCTATGAGCATAGCATTGGGTCAGCAAAATGTCCGTTTTCTTCCACAGAGCGTGGCAACTATCTGGGGAAGTAATGATGACCGGGCTTCTTCTTAAGTAAATCACCTCTTTACCCCAAAAGCCCGGCATGTGGATATCTTAGCTGCGAACCAAAGAGGTTATGAGAACCTGCGTGTCTTCACGAAACATATGTTTAATATGATGGTTGTTTTCTTTATGAAAACTGCCATTTTAGGTGTTCATCGAGTGATGCAACATGGAAAATATCCACCCTCATTATACACAGTGTTTACTAAATGCGGTTATTAAATTCTGTAGAGCCTAACTTCGATAGTCGTGGGACTTCAATCTGAATTTTCGGATCAAACAAACTGTAGAGTACGAGGAAACGAAATAATGCTACACTCACACGCCTGTTGAGATTCTAGAACAGGGTAGTCGAGGCAGTAGATGGTGCAGAAGGTGCTACTGTGTGGGCAGGCCGTATTACAATAGCCTTTTGGATCCAGTCGCACACTGAAAGCATCTTTATCTTCCTCCAATAGAGAGCCATTCTGCAACAGACACGCTGCTTCGTCCACTGACACGTACCCCGTTCCGATTATGCCGACTCGCAATACCTTCGGAGTCTGCTGCGTTATCGTAGTGAGTTTCAGGCGTTGACGTCTGAATCGCAGAACACCTCGTGCGATTTTTGAGTAGTGAATCACCCTACTGCCAAACTGCTTCTCCACGTAGATTTCCTTCGGTACCTTAAACGACTCCTCAATTCTCACCTCTACATTCATATTTCCCTCGTAGTAATCCGAGTCCGAGATGGAGCGTTGAATCTGAATATCAACCAGGAGGTTGCCGAGACCCTGATAGGAGACATTGAATCTCAGGCGAACAAGGTTAGAAAATCCACCTGTCAGGGAAAATATGTTGTAGATTCGTGAGTTTTCGGTTGGAAAGCTTGTGAGGCTATTAATGTAATGAAGGAGTGGGGTGAGAAGACGAAGGGTGTTGTGCACCACACCCATGGAAGGGACGTCGTATATTGCCGTTTGACCCAGTGGTGGACCTCGAATTGTGATTGTCTCGTGGGAGATCGGGAAACTGTGTTCGTAGTTATCGTCAGGATGTTTGATTGATATCATTCCTTTTAGGCGGATAAAACGATCGGCAGAGCCTGTGAATAAAGTGGAAGCAGAAGAATGATTAGTCGATTTCTATGTCAATTATGGGAACTTAGTTCTTCGAAATTTCACGGTTCATATTGAAGGTAACAAATCAAGACTGTGTGAAAAATTATAAGGAGCTGGATTATATATCCATGTCTCTTAAAAGGGTTCGTCAATAAACAGCTATCTTACGTCGGTGTATGCACTTCTCCCATCCACCGCCATTGAATCCTGGAGGGCAGACGCAACACACCGTCGAGGTGAAGTTAAAGCACTCGGCATAGGCGTCTTCACAATTACTCGCCTCACATTCTACAAGGTAACCAAAGATCCTTTCCTTCATCCTCTTCAGGCATGGCATCCGCAGAGTTGGTAGTGATGAATGCAACCACTCCCTAGCGCTTGTGGAACTCGCTGATATGATGCTCTAAGAATGGATGACGCTAATCACTATGCTTAGTCTCGTGTGTGATGGCTGATTTATAGCTTTTTTTGATTAGCAAAAAAATGAAGTAGCACTTCTGGCGCCCAGTTCATAGTCATAGAGGCAGCGTAACTCCAGTTGCCACTTTAATTGATTGACTTCGCGCAGGTGAAGGCCGTAAGGCTAATGACAATGACAAGGTCATGGCATACGTGGTACCAGTTTTCATTTCTTTAGTGCCTAGATGTGTTGATTGTGCAGGTTTGAGTCAGGGAGGTCATTCACGACAGAGGCGAACACGGCGGTTAGACGTGGAGAGGAGAGTGTAAATTTCACACAGGCTACAATTGGATTAGCACAGTCTATACGAATATGATTAGGGCTTTTCAATTATTTTGCTTTGAAAAGAACACTGTGCATCCAGTGGTTTCAACCACTGACCTGCGATGCCAAGGCGTTTCGGGGAACGATACTACTATTTAAGTACACAGTATTATATTACCAACCAAAATAAACCTAAAGATTGGCGATAATTCTAAAACCGATAAGCTGATCTCGAGTAAAGGTCTTGTAGTAATTCTTACAATGCATGAAGTCATACCATTTGAATGTCAATATGTCAATCATCATTAGTCTGGTCACCTGTTGTGAAGTGTGCTGACTTCTTGCCGATAAGCTCAGTGTGTGCATCAAGCTATCGACAAAAGAAATCTTGTGATGAGCTCCCAATATCTCGTTTCTGATCCTGTAGTGGCTTACACACAACAAAACAGCGGTGTTGCGTGAAGGGGAAGGAAAATAACGAAGGAGAACGGTCGGAGGTGGGGAAGCATGGGAAGGTATAAAGTGAGCAGCAAAGTATCAAAATCACAAACACCTACTCGGAATGCTTAAATTCTCGGCGCTGAGAAGGTAGAACGCCAGTATCAGTACAATCACTGAGGCAAACGGCAACTCCATTGTGCCCAGTGGATTGTTTTCTTTCGAAACCGGAGTTTATATAACCTCTTGGCTGTAAACAAACCTGTACACGAATGTGCATCTGTGCGTATTTACGCAGGCAGTGAATTTCAGACGCAAAGTCGTAAAATGTCACGGGGCACGACAGGAAGTCGGCTAATTTTGATTTAAAAAAAGGCACAACGCAACGTCTACCTACCTACCGGCTTGAAGGCAGTGGACAAATAAACACACTAATCAAGTAGCCTGGACCGGACATAAACCATTGAGGGCAAAATGGATTTTCTAACTCATAATTTTATTGTGGAATCAGCTACGTGAGACGTGGTCACACATGGGTTGCGTGACAGCTTCATGTGGTTTCGGAACTTGAAAAACCTTCTTGATGAGTGCTTGCAAATCTTGAAGGAAAAAGGAGGAAAATTTGCCAAATTTGTTAAGGAGTTATTCAAAAAAAACCTGCACCAGAAGCGACGTGTGAGAAATTCTATAAGCACGCACGCACCCTCCGTTTTGCGTATCTATGAGTAGACACACTCGAATCTATGACGTCAAAAGCTAAAAAAAATATTGCCACATCTCATTGACGAAGTATTTTTTGTCAACCTTGAAGTTGCATATCATAACGGATTTCCCCGGTCATGCTTTTGTAACATCCCATGACCCAAATGAAGTCTCCTTTGACTTTGAAACTTATGCCTAACTCGAGAAGGAATGAAGTCACTTCAGTTACGTCATCTTCTTGCTTCAAATACGACGATTCTATCTTCCAAGGCAATCCCAATTTCTACTTTAAACTCGTAACGCACAAAAGTCACGGCCCGCAATGCTACTTATTATACATCAGTAGACTAGATACACCCAGCCTTTCCATTTACACTCGAAATCATTTTTGCAGCAAAATGAGACCATAGAGTCAAAAATGCTGCACTTCAGGTGTGATTATTAATAATATTATACAGTCAAGCATTATTGTGCGTAAGAAATAAGCCCCTCATCAAAGAGTTGTTTCGTCGAGGCTCGCATGGTGGAGCGGCTCAAGAAGGCGTCCGGATCCTCCCGTCGTTGAACAGTGTAGCCGTGCAAGATGAAACCGCCACCACCCGAGGTCATCCGAATAACTGGATGTGTGCGGCCCGGCAGTACCTGCATCGGACGCAGCCAGGTGTCATGGAGTGACAACTGGGCACAACTACCTCGTCTTTTCAGAACATTGTACAAGTCGACGAGGGCCTAGTAGCATGCAAACACGTCAGCAAGTTGAAAACAGACGCTAAGTAAGGGGAGTGCTCACCGGAAGAATGTGCGAGTGGACTACAAAAGGTCGACCAGGTGGTAGAAACTGCATCAATAAGAGAGTGATTTCAACGGGGTAGAATCGCGAGGCTACAATGAGGCAATCTGGTCGATCCTCGAGGTCTGGTGAAAGCTGCTCATCCGTAGGACAAAGAATCCTCCGAATCTCGTTTAATTGTTCCTGCTTCTCTTGAGACCGTTTTAATTTCTCCTCTTCTGACATGCTTTCTGTCTTCTTTGACCGGCGTTGGGAAACACGCCTGGATTTCCGTGTGCTATCCGCGGCAGTCTCTGGCAGAGCCTCCTTGGTTCCAAACAAACATAATTCATCACTCGCTACAGGTCGAATGAAGCGTTATGACTAGCAGTAGTCCCAGTGAGATGCTTTCCAAGAAAGTGTTATTTAACAGCTCTTACGCGACTTATCCTCATTTGTAACCAAACACGCTTCAGCGGCTGCAACAGAGCGATGGGAGCTGTTAATGCGCACAAGAGTGTGGGCAAGGAAGAAAAATGTCCAATTTTCTTACCCGCCTCCTCTTCTTCTATGCGCGGCCTCTAATAGCACAAAGAAAAAAAATTAAACCTTTGCTCTTACTTATCACAATGGAGTAAAGTGGAAATGAACCTTGCCTTATGTTGTGGAGACTGCGACACGGAATCATCTAGGTGTTCTTTAGCAAACAAACCGGTCAAGAGGAGAGAAGTAACGTCTCCAAATTGGACATTATAAATCTGCAAATGTAGAGGGTAAAATGGACTAATTTTGGGGATCTCAGAAGGTGGCTAATGTATGTAAATATCGAATGATGAAGATATGGTGTCATACGTTGTATATGTCGATGTCATGACCTACCATATACGCCTGTAGTATT